AGAGGAGGGAGGAGGAGAGCAGTTAGCAAATAGCTTATCACAGGGTTTTCAAAGCAAAATTCCCTTTGTTAGGCTCGTCTGGCTGAGTGGCAGGAGGGTGTCATTATGTAGTCGGAGCGGGGAATTTATGGTGACAGCCGTGGTGGGGGAGAGAAATATTCAGGGGATGGCACCGTTTTGTTTTTTTTTTTTTTCATGTGCTTCAGGCTGATGACAAGGTATACACGATGTTTGTCTTGCCTCTGCAAGTAAACACGTCCTCACATCTCAAATAAATTAATCGCCTGCTCTCCAATTAATCACGGCTCCTTTCCGGGGGAGGGCTGTGTGTGTGTGTATTTTTATAATACATAAGTCTGCTCATCATTTATTTATCCTTTCCAAGTCTGGGGCTTTGGAAAAAGCCAATTTGAAGTAGTTTGGGGTTTGGTTGTTGATGTTTGTTGGGGTTTTTTTCTCCCTTTGCTGGTTATTTTTACAGAAGCTGCTTTTTCAATTAAGGGGGTTGAGAGAGGGAGGGGGGGGAAGGTGTTTTCTTGCTCCCAGAGTGCTGTGGAATGAACCTTAAAAAAAAAAAAAAAAACTTCTCAGGTGAATTGTTGGGAGTAAAGAGACGTTGGGAGTGACAGGTTTTTTGAGGGGCAATGACAGCCCTGTTAAGGATATGAAGCTCCATCGAAGGGGGAGGCTTTGAAGCTGCTGCTGCTCCTGGAAAACTCCGGGGGTGGGAGTTGGATCCGGATAAGGATAATGCAGAGCCTTGGGAAGGAATAAAGCAGATCTTTAGGCTGGGAGCAGCTGGTTTAGGCTGAGTCTAACCTGCAGCTGGGGTTTTGTCCGAAGAAGTTTTTAAAATAAACGTGCCAGGTATTTTATGGGGTTTTAGAGGGAAGTGGTGACTCGCCCTGGTGTGAGGGATGTTTTAGGCATAAGGGGCTATCCTGGAAGTGCCCAAGGCCGGGTTGGACATGGCTTGGAGCAACCTGGGAGATTGGAAGGTGTCAGGGTTGGAGCAGGGTGGGCTTTAAGGTCCCTTCCCACCCAAATCCATGACTGGGATTGTTGGGATTTGCAATGTGGATGCGCCCCCCAACCACCAAGGAGGTGATTTGGGGTGGCTTTTCCTGCAGTTTGGTGCCGTCATCCCAGGAGGAAAAAGGTTCTGTGCACCTCGTGAGTGCCTGAAAACCCTCTGAGGGGGGTTTGTGTATCCCAGGCCCCCTTCTGTGCCCATGGAAATGGGAATAACAAACCCCTTGAGCGGATCAGCTGGTCTGGGACGTGTCTTGTGTGGCCATAAAAATGCCACCATAAAAAGGCTCCTGGTGAAGGCTCCCTGTTTGTCCTGGTCCATCTCTGCCTACAGGTGGATTTTGGGGGGGGATAACATGGGATCCAGTCATGGAATCTTGGAATCCCAGGATGCTTTGGGTGGAAAGGGAGGTTTAAAGCTCATCCAGTTCCAACCCCGACACCTCCCGCTATCCCAGGTTGCTCCAGCCTGGCTTTGGGCACTTCCAGCCCTGCCCTGTGTCCCCAGGAGCCACATCCCCAGGGATTGGGAATCCCTCCAGGGATGGTGACTCCAGCCCTGCCCTGGGAAGTTCATTTCAATGTTTAACCACCATTTCCGTGTGGGAATTGTTCCCAATATCCCACCTGCCCCTCCCCTGGCCCAGCTGGAGGCCGTTCCCTCTCCTCCTGGCCCTTCTTCCCTGGGAATTGGGGACCCCCAGCTCCTGAAACTTCCTGCCAGGGGGGTTGTAGGAGCTGGGGCAGTGCCAGGATGGCACATAATCTTTAGGGATAGTTCAGGGTGGAAAATCCCTCTGGGATCGCAGAGTACAACCCCCCCCCCAGCACTGCCCAGGCCAGCCCTGCCCTGTGTCCCCAAGGGCCACATCCACAGGGATTGGGAATCCCTGCAGGGATTGGGAATCCACCCCTGCCCTGGCAAGTTCATTCCAGTTCCTGACAGCCCTTTCCATGTGGGAATTGTTCCCAATATCCCGCCTGCCCCTCCCCTGGCCCAGCTGGAGGCCGTTCCCTCTCCTCCTGGCCCTTGTTCCCTGGGAGCAGAGCCCGACCCTTCCCTGGATCCATCAGGGAATTGTAGGAGCCAGAAGGTCCCTCCTGATCCCTCTGTTCTCCAGGCTGAGCCCCCCCACCTCCCTCAGCCTCTCCTGCTGCTCCAGCCCCTCCCTGGACACGCTCCAGCCCCTCCATGTCCTTCTTGTCTGAGGGGCCCAGCTCTGCCCCCAGCGAATCCTCCGACTCTTCCCTACCTGGAAAACCTCAGGAATCCCAGAATCTCGAGTCCTTTCGGATCAAAAGCCACTTGAGAAGTTCATTTCCTTCTCTCTTCTCTTCACCCACCATCAGCCAGCCCTCCCTTCCCTTCTCCCTTCCACCACTTGGGATCTTCCAGGGATCTTTAGTCCGGCTTGGCACCAAAACCGGGGTTTGAGGCAGATCTTGGGGCGCTTCCCTGGGGTGGTTTTGGGGTCTGAAGGAGGGAAAACCCACCTGGGCTGCTGGTGGAGAGACCTGGAGAAGGGAAGGATCCAGGGAGAGCTTGGAGCCCCTTCCAGGGCTTAAAGGGGCTCCAGGAGAGCTGGAGAGGGACTGGGGACAAGGAATGGAGGGACAGGACACAGGGAATGGCTTCCCACTGCCAGAGGGCAGGGACAGATGGGAGATTGGGAAGGAATTCCCAGCTGGGAGGGTGGGGAGGGGCTGGAATGGGATTCCCAGAGAAGCTGTGGCTGCCCCTGGATCCCTGGAAGTGTCCCAGGCCGGGTTGGATCCACCTGGGATAGCGGGAGGTGTCCCTGCCCATGGAAAGGGGGCGGAACAAGATGATCTTTCCTGTCCCTTCCCACCCAAACCATCCCATGATTCTGTGTCACAGGTCACTCCCAATCCTTCCTGGGAATCCTGTGGACAGGGCCAGGAGCCCCGGTGGGGTCCCTTGGACAAACCTTTTTCCCCGTGGCAGAGCCTCTTGTGTCCCTTGGCCGTGTCTGGCAGTGCC